ATATTGGTCGTTCGTCAGTGTAAGAAAAGCGAGGGACTAAATACGTGAATTGTGTCTTTGTTAACATATAAAACCTAAAACCATTGACACATTCTCAAACTAGACTAAACTTCGAGCCAAATTATTATCCACAACGTGACTTATAAGTAGGTGTAAATCGGGAAATAAAAAAATCTTACCGAAACCTAGTCCCGGAGGAAGTTCCGCCATGATACACCGACGATACGTCTGTGTAATTAGGTGGGTAGCAGTGATAATAGCTCTAAAAGTGAAAATAGATCGATGTAAAACACTGGTGATTTGGAGATTCAACAATTATGAACAGTTTGCATAATTCATTAACATGTTGTTGTAATCACTAATATAATATGACACTTTATAATCAAAACAAATTATGTTTTAGTTAACAGGCAACCTAATTGAGTATTACTAGCGAATGTGGTAGAGTATTACTAGCGAATGTGGTAGAGTATTACTAGCGAATGTGGTAGAGTATTACTAGCGAATGTGGTAGAGTATTACTAGCGAATGTGGCAGAGTATTACTAGCGAATGTGGCAGAGTATTAATAGCATATGTGGCAGAGCCTTGAGATAAAACTACAATAAACAAAATTAGTACCATGGGTACTGGGCTCACATGGTGACAGAAAAAAACGGATATAATTTTTTGCTGATTTTTTGTAACAAAATTATTTCAAGCCACTTGCCACTATTTTGGACTGACTGAGAGACAGATGGACAAATCGATGTTAAGTAAAATGGCTGAGAAAAAAAAGGATATAATTTTTTGCCAATTATTTGGAACAAAATTATTTCATAGAACTACTCTTTACAGTGACATGGCTTTTTGCAATGCAAGACACCTGAAATTATTTGTAAAGCTAGGAAATAGGCCAAAATTGAATTTCGCGAGACAAAAATGGCGACCATTTTGAAATCAGGCAAGCTTTTGAACCAGGAGTCACAGGGGAGTTTTTTGTATTGATGTTGAACAAAAATAATGTGAAACTGGAATCCTATCGACAGAGGTTTTAAGCAAATGGTTCAAAAGAGGATTTCGCAAGACAGATGGACAAATCAATGTTAACTAAAATGGCTGAAAATAAAAAAACAGATATAATATTTTGCCGAATTTTTGTAACAAAATTATTTCATACAACTACTCTTTACAGTGACACGGCTTTTTACAATGCAGGACAGCTGGAATTATTTGTAAAGCTAGGAAATGGGCAAAAAGTGAATTTCGCGGAACAAGAATGGCGACCATTTTGAAAATAGGCGAGCTTTTGAACCAGGAGTCATAGGGGAGTTTTCTGTATTGATGTTGAACAGAAAAAACTTAAAACAGGAATCCTATCGACAGAGGTTTTAAAACGTGCCATTGCTATTGACGGAAAGTGGATTTCGCGAGTCAGATAGACAAATCAATGATAACTAAAATGGCTGAAAATAAAAAAATGGATATAATTTTTCGCTGATTTTTTGTAACAATATTATTACATACGAGGGGTGATCAATAAGTAATGGACGCTTTTTTACACAGATAACTTTTATAGACCAATTCCTTTGATTTTCCTACCAGTGATACATCATTCAATAATCTATCAACTCTGAAGATTTGAAGACAAAATATATAATACATATTGATATATCCTTAATTCCGTGAAGGAGGTACAGGTACCCCGGGACCGACATTTACGTCACATATTCAGATTTTAGCCAGTTTGGTAAATTTCAGTTAGATTTGAACTACGTTTTATATGCAACAAGTGTTGTGTTGTTTAACATTTTTTGCTGACTGGTAACACATAAACAGAAAGTATTGTAATGTCAGAGTGTTGTATGGAAGGGGTTTGCAGGTCAATTTGAGAAAGCATTGTGGAAGAAAGGGGTGGTGAGAGAAGGGAACACTCTACTCCATATGGACAATGCACCTGCCCAAAGATCTCAAAATGTTCAGAAAACAATATCCCTGGACCTCAAAATTGAGCCCTTGGCCAATGCACCATATTGTCCAGATCTGCTTACATGTGATTTGTTTATTTCTATACTTCTTATTTCTATAGAGAAAGGACGCAGGTTTATTGACATTGATGAAAGAAAACAACCCGTGCAACTGCATATTGCTACCATGTCAGAGAATGGATTCAGCCTCGTCTCACAATCTTGAGTTAAGAGGATGAGGAATTGTGTACATGTAGCACTTGATGGAATCTATTTAGAGGGCCCTGTGGAATGAATGTGGCATGAATACCACATAGTGATGATAAAATATTCAAAATCAACCATGGCATAACAAAATGGGGTAATTCATGACCATAATGGTTTGTTTTGTTCAGCCTGCATTCAACTGCATTGCATGTTAAACAATCTAAAATAGCTTCAGAATATGTGACGTAAATGTCGGTCCCGGGGTACCTGTACCTCCTTCAGGGAAATAAGGATATATCAACATGTAATATATATATTGTCTTCAAATCTTCAGCGGTGATAGATAATTGAATGATGTATCACTGGTAAGAAAATCGAAGGGATTGGTCTATAGAAAGCATCTGTGTAAAAAAGCGTATATCTACCCTTTACATTGACATGGATTTTTACAGTGAAGGACACCTGAAATTATTTGTAAAGCTAGGAAATGGGTCAAAAGTGAATTTCGCGAGACAAAAGTGACGGCCATTTTGAAAATAGGCGAGCTTTTGAACCAGGAGTCATAGGGGAGTTTTCTGTATTGATGTTGAACAGAAATAACTTAAAACAGGAATCCTATCGACAAAGGTTTTAAAACGTGCCACTATTGTTGACGGACGGACAGACGGACGGACGGACGGACGGACAGACAGACGGACAAGTGAGTGATTGCAAAAGCTCACCATGTGAGCTAAAAAACACAGACCCCAGGATAGAAGTTCACGAACAAACCAACCTCATGTATTTGAAATTATGAAGTCAAAAAATAAATGACTGCGATATATTTTCCATTGTAATACAGTATTGCGTTTCATAACATTTGAGATAACCAGATTACTTTCATATCCTCCAGTTGCAATTGTATAATGATGCAGAAGAATTTATGAATGGATCACTAAAACATAATATCTTGTTAAAACATTTATTATTACTGCTTTATAGACAAATCATGTAATTCTATTTACCGTAATTAAAAATCTAATGGTAAGTATTACTTAAATGCTTTAATAAATTCCTTTTCATCTTGCACTTAATTTAAATAATCACATAAATCATTTTTTCCATGATACCATTACCATATCTCGATGGCGCAATAGCAGAATAGTTCAGACAGCTTAATTTAACAGAATACAATTTTAACATGGTATGAAAATACAATATGAAACATACACAAGGCATTAACATACAAAATGTTACCACCTGCCATGTGTTACAGATGCCAAACACTGTTACAAACACCGACTGCCAAACATCAACCACCAAACACCAGCCATAAAAAAGTTGTTATGTCACCACTTTAACTTTAAGAGAATCAAACTAGGGAGATAAATCAGGAAAAGTTATGATGTCATATACATAAAAACGTCATATTGTGATGTCATACATGTGAATTACATCATACTCAAAACCAAAGCCAAAACCCATACAAGCACAAGTGAACAGTTATGTAGTGAATGTGGGGTAATAGAAGATGAATTTCCCTTTATCACTAACTGCATATATAGAGGGTGATATATATATCTTTTATTGACTCTTTAGATGTCATATCATGACATATTAGTCACTCCAGGTGGTGTTGCCACTTCAAATTACTGGACCAATCTTTGTGAAACTCGGTACAGATATTCCCCAAACATTATTGACTGTATAACTTAAATATAAAGATTCTACTGTTTGATTATTTGATTTTATGGTTACTATGCTAAGCCGATGTGACATCACCCGGGGTAAATTATTTGATTTAGTAAAAATGGAATGAAAAATTTAATAAAGATAATATAATGTTAGTTTTAAACACCCTATTTCAATAATCATGAACACTTAATTGCTCAATTATAGCATACATAACTCTGCATAATTGCCACCATTAGCTATATATTTTTCATTGTAGTACTCTGAAAACAGATCTCTAAATTCATGATAACTCATACATAATATGATAATGTCATATATGTAACTGTTTATAATATGGTGATGTCACAGTTACACATGTAAAGTATATAATATGATGTCATGTATGTAACTGTTTATAATATGGTGATGTCACAGTTACACATGTAAAGTACATAATATGATAATGTCATATATGTAACTGTTTATAATATGGTGATGTCACAGTTACACATGTAAAGTATATAATATGATGTCATGTAAGTAACTGTTTATAATATGGTGATGTCACAGTTACACATGTAAAGTACATAATATGATAATGTCATATATGTAACTGTTTATAATATGGTGATGTCACAGTTACACATGTAAAGTACATAATATGATAATGTCATATATGTAACTGTTTATAATATGGTGATGTCACAGTTACACATGTAAAGTATATAATATGATGTCATGTATGTAACTGTTTATAATATGGTGATGTCACAGTTACACATGTAAAGTACATAATATGATAATGTCATATATGTAACTGTTTATAATATGGTGATGTCACAGTTACACATGTAAAGTATATAATACGATGTCATGTATGTAACTGTTTATAATATGGTGATGTCACAGTTACACATGTAAAGTACATAATATGATAATGTCATATATGTAACTGTTTATAATATGGTGATGTCACAGTTACACATGTAAAGTATATAATATGATGTCATGTATGTAACTGTTTATAATATGGTGATGTCACAGTTACACATGTAAAGTACATAATATGATAATGGCATGTATGTAACTGTTTATAATATGGTGATGCCACAGTCACACATGTAAAGTACATGATATGATATCATATTCTATATAGTAAATATGATGCTTTATAGTTATACGTGAATTAACTTACATTCTTCTTTCATGCCGACCTCCCGACAGCGCCGTAAGCGACATGCTTGACACCGCCTCCTCATCCACATGTCCATTTCACAATTACCACCAAATTTACAGTTATAGGTAGCATTACGAGTTATACTACGTCTAAAAAAGCCTGAAATTAAAGATTTATAATACTGTAAATAAAAGGTTAAACATTAATCATATACAATATAATATACAATGTAATCTGATTTTTACACAAACAATGATTCTGGTTTAAATAACTTTATGATAAAACACTTCATTTTTCTCCATGTATTCATTAATGTGAATTACTTTTACTATAATTAAATCCAAAATTTGACTAGGAAATCAACAGGTAAAGACTAAAGCATGAATATTTTATATCATTTTCTATGTATCTACTACAAAGCAAATATGGTCTTTAATATTCGAATTTAGAATACATAAACAATAAATTGATATACAAGTATACATGTAATTGACTTGAAAACTGACACAGAAAAAATGTTTTGCATTAACTAGTCCATATACATTAAGCACCTTGTGAAACACCTGCGCAGAGCAGGGAAACGATGTCAGTTAAAATGCCCATTAGACGATTAAGTGATGATTATTATTAAAACACACTTGGTTGAGTTAAGAATTCCTATAGTACATTGTTCTCTTTCCATGATGTCATCATATCCATGGTTACAACAATTGAATAAGGAATTCTTAATTTATAAAGTTTCTGCTAATGACCACCTGTTGATAATCATTTAAGTAGGGAAATAGTAATGGGCAGCAAGGAGGATTGGCTTTTCGCCATATATGGGCATGTCATGATTAAAAAATTTGAATTCAAACAGCCGACATTTGGTTCACTTCAATTGAGAATTTTGGTCTTATTTTCTTAATTCCAAGAAATGATCAATATTTGAATTTATAGTCGGTTATAATTTCAATAAATAAAGACATTTCGACGTTTTCATTGTTGGAAAATATCGAGTTTCGATCCCGGGAGCCAATCCTCCTTGAATGGACAGCCTAAGCAAACACCAAAAATATACATGTAGTCATTAAAACAAGTAAACAGAAATACCTTTACAGCCCTCGCAGCTGAGAGCATTATAATGATACCCCGATGCTCTATCTCCACATATGAGACATAACTCCTCTTCTATGCTCTTCCCTGCCACACCAGACCCTTTACCTTTCTTCTTTATATTAGACATTGCCGACATTGAGCATGCAGCGCCCGGGAGTGAGTAATCCATGACTTCCTGTTTCACCTGATGCATTGTGGTCATACCATGGGGCAGCTGGGTCATCATGTGGTGTGATGGAGAGAGACTGCTGGGAGGTGACATGCTGTGCCGAGGTGTCATGTGATCAGGACTGTACCTGTGATGGGACATCTTGTTACTATGGAAAATCATCATGAGGCAGCGCTATCTCTTGACACAGCCCCTGTAATACATAAACAAATCATACAGAGGTGTTTTCTGTGAAACTGTCTAAAAAATAAAATGAAGTTGTTTTCATCCATTAACACAGTCCTTGCAATATGTAAATGTCTTAAATTAAAACATTCATATATGAGCGATATCTCTCTTACATCCTGGCACAGGCACGTCCCCTAAATGAGATGTCAAACTCATTTAAGGCTTGGCTCAAAGCCTTACAGGTTGTACTTTTGATATCACATCTTACCAGATGAAATACTAATATAAAACAATGCTAAACCATTAACACTCCTAGAATACAGCTTAAATGTTTACACTTTCCAATGATATATCATCATCTCCTAGTCTTTTACTAGATGCATTTCTTGTTCTGTATTAACGCGATCAGCAACACGCCACAAATACAATGATGCAGCACCAATATATATAATTTCAACAGGACGTTGATTTTAATATCTGCCTCTTAAAACTGGACATGAGACAATAAGATGTAAGTAGTTATGACTAAGGCAAACATGTACTGGGTATGTCATAAAAATGGGACATTATGCAATTTCTTAAAACATTTAAAACAGAGAATTTTAAAATATGCCCAAGTAACATGCAACACTCTTATATTGTATATTTTACAATGATATGGGTTGGTATTGAAGAGCTCACGCTAAAATGAACCAAAGATCTAACTGCACAATATTAAAGAAATCCGCACAGGAGCATCCCCACCCCCAATTTAAGGAATTGTTTCCCAAATTGTTTTCATTGGAGACTGTTGGATATTGATCATACCCAATCTTTTATTAATTTAATAATAGATCATGATTTTTAGTGTAAAAGTTGTGAGAATAAGGAGGGGAATTATTAGTTCAGTATGGTGGAGACACACAACCATTAGATCCTTCCACCGAGTGGGAAGGACGAATAGATGGCATCACCAGTGGTTGGATTTTGGTAAGTACATGAATGAAAAAGTGTATGTATGGACCAACTCTAAAACATGATTTGATGTGATCAAGGTGCATTTTCTTTAAAAAATTTGACCTTATTGACCTGCCTCCATCTGTCAAAATCTGAATGACATTTTTTGACATTTTCTATAGATGGCATCTTCAACAGGTGAGATCTTTTGATTTTCGTGGGGAGTTTTGATTCAAACTTTTTTGACTGACAGAGGACATACTGGGGTATGATGGAATGACAGCAAAACATGTCCACAAATCTTAGTTTTCTCTGGAAGACAGATCGTTTGTATGGGAATATGCATGTTATAACAATTAGTTGGGTTAACCCGGTGTGGAATGGTATCTAATGATAGATATTTATTGTATTGTGATGATGCATCGAATTACAAAATGTGTCTCTTTCTCAGTATACTGTATAAGTACATATACAGTGTGTTGGATAAGCGGTTGCCATTCGCCAAATGCCATCAGAAAATACACCTGGTGAACAGTTTAATGGAGCACTTGCCATAGTGGGGATCTGGGATCAAATCAGACTTGAAAACCCGATGATAATGACATATTTCTGCCAAGAAACTCATCGAGATCGAAAATCCAGAACATCCGGATATTCCTTCTAGATCGATCCCGAAACGTTTTCTATCATGGATTCTGATTGGCCGTGCTCTCGACTTCTTTATTCGAGAGTTCTGATTGGTCGAAGAGATCATATGCACATAAAAACTGCGCAGAAGCTATCGCTGAAAAAATCTTTTTAAACTCGGACATTTCCTTCTTCAATCATCAAAATATTGGTTTAGTATAATGTGGAAAGCACCAAATGATAGATATTTATCGTGATGATGCACTGAATTACAAAATGTGCCACTTTTTCCGCATTTTAGTGTAAGTACTCTATTATCGCCCACTGACTTCTTTCGGAAAATATTTTTTCTGTGTATTCGATAATATTACTTGGTTATTCCTTGATATTTCTTGAACTTTGTGAAGCGGGGCGAATGGTTATTAGCAGGTCGGCGCTAAAAACGGCAATTACTGTTACTAAGCAATGTGTATTTTTTGTTCTTCATTATTTTTTCTGTGTAGATATACGATATATATAGGCCTAAAATTTGACTTTTATGAGGAATATCATGCTCAGATTGCACAAAAGAGGTTCTAAATATCAATAATTTTCTGGAGGGGGAATGCTACCACCCCCCCTCCCCCAGCCCATGATACATTTTTAATCATTATCATATCATAGTGTTATTATTAGGGAATTAAATGATACTTTGATATAGTTGGATGCAAAAGTTTGACAAATTGCCGATTCTTTACTTTTTAGATAAAATAAATGATTTTCGTAAAAATTTGCAATGTTAGCGTAATTTTGTACTGGCTAGTGAAAAATCTGTTTGGCCAGTGGTATCTAAAATCCAGTGGCCAAAATGGCTACCAGGAAAAAATCCTTATCTGACACACTGATATATTGTATCTTTTTCTGATGTTTTCGTAAATACTTGGTCACTGCTCTATATTTCTTGATTTAGAGAAGCAGGGTAGACGCTTAGTATGGATGGGCACTAATTCTGCAATTAAGATAAATTTTATACTTTCCATTTTTTTATGATATTTGGTTCATATCCACTTTTCAAATGTATCAAGTGTCCCACTTTTCGGTCTACCCTGTAAATGTATAAGGATGCACTCTATCAGTAAGACAATATGCTATTATAATTATATCAAAATTATACAAAAAATCTAATATGAGTCATATTGATAATAACTAAGTAGTTCTTTACGTTAATAATATATTCATTTTCAAGATTTAATAAGATATTATTATAATTAGGTTTTTAGTTCTGTGGGAGATATTATTCAAATTAGTCACCTATGATGATGTAATGCAACTCCCACATGAAAATGACAAGTGTCTTTAGTAACCATATATCAGAACAGATATATTTAGATACATTCCACTATCAGCGAAAGTAATAGCCGTCACCTTCGCATCAAAGATAGCAGAAGGGAAGAGGGTTTCCTTCCTTGGATCTCGATTGAACACCATGTTTCCATTTAGGACAACAGTGCGATTACAGGTCAAGCATACCCACATTTTTCTTGAACATTTGACGGGTCAATGTTCATATACTGTGTATTGATTGAGACTACTACCATTTTTTTGGAATAATGTTTACTAAAATTTATTTAGAAAACTCAATCTAATCCTTGATTTGATTCACAAATGAACTGTGATGATATAAGTACTATTCACTTACAAAATTTCCACCTGCCATCTGTGGATTAAATGATTGGATAACAATGAATCCAGGGCTGTCAGATAGGGGGTGGGATGGGTACGACTGCATCCCCTTTGACACCCCCCACGTATTATAATTTTTTCTAATTTGTTTTCATTGACTCATACACAAGTGGTCCACCCCCACAAAACAATTGAAAAGTTTTGAATTTATTTATGTATTATCAAATAACTCCTAGATATAGTCAATGTTTCGTGGGGACCAACACTTGCTCTACCTCTGGCATCCTCACCCCACCTCCTCCTCCGGCACCCCCTCCTTTGACCCCCCCAAAAAATAAATTGAAAAAATTGTTATTTTTTTTATTGACTCATGCATTTAAGACCCTTTTAAAGCACCTACACTTCACCAAATAGCACCTTTATATGGTAAATGTTTACTGGGGGACAAAAACTTGGAGAAAAGTGTCTTATGGGCCTGGAATCATCTTATGCAACATAATACATGTACATATAAATATAAAGAAAGTAATATCAAAGTTATCATTAGTTACTATAGTAACTATAACTATAGTATCATTACTAACTATACTGAAACCACTGTATATTGAACTTTTTTGCTGAGAAAAAAACTACAGTAAATAGTTATATTCATAAAGAACTATTGTTTTAGAAAATATATTTGATTGGATAAAACACAATAAGCACAATTATTTGAGGCTTTTTAGATAGCTGACAGAATCTCATTCTATGCTGGAAATGGTTTGTATATATTGGGTACGACTCATACAAAGAACATGGCATTGCTAAACTCACTGTGGTTGCAGCAACCCAAGGAGGATTGGCTCCCAGAATCGAAGTCAATATTTTCCAACAATGAAAACGCCGAAATGTTGTTTTCTTAAATTATAACCTGATTATAAATTCAAAACAGTTCAAATGATTCAAACCAAAATCTCGATCATTTCTTGTGTGTTTTGGATTTTTACATTAGGAAATAATATCAAAATTCACGATTCAAAATGTTGAAGTGAACAAAATGGCGGCTGTTGGAATTCAAATCTTGTAGCATGACATCACCATATATGGGAATATCGATGTTGCACTCTGGGAGCCAATCCTCCTTGCAGCAACCAATAATATCACTGTGATCAATTTGAGTGTTTAAAATATTATGCATATTGTTCTAGGGAGCATCGCAACAGAAGAGTAAATTAATCTAGGTCTGTACTCATTTGAAAGTCACTTACCTCAATCACAAAAAAATGATGAATAATTGAGGAGTCTGGCCTCATTTGAAAGCCAAAGGGACAATACTGTATGTATACTAAATTTATAACCTTCGCAATCAGGGACTATTGTACTATTAATGCCAATTTTAGATAACCAAGTTTTCAAACTGGTTTGCAAGTATGATAAATGCCAGGTACTCTTGAAAGCGCTAAATTCAAAGAATGCAATTTTGAATGGAGAGCTTTATTTTGAAATACCTTAATTGAATAGGGTTTAGATGAAGCTGTTGGGAAGGGTATGACTTCCCGGGTATGACTTATAGCTGCTGAGACATATGCTGAATAACATGTTATGCTGAACCTTATATTTTATGTAAAAGTGCTGGTTAATGTTATTATTATATTAGAGATTTTGTAATTCACTTTGCTTATAGCATGTTTATAAATCCTTTATGTTTATAACTTACGTTTGTGTACTACGCACCATTTGTTACAAAGCTCTATATGTCTATAAGTAGCCATTGATTATAAAACATCGTTTATAAGTGAGTAAATCCTTGTATCTTTTATA